GTCATGACTTTATAACGCAGAAAGGAGAAATTGATAAGCAAGAGAAAACATGCATTGAAAAACGATTAAGCTTGAAAGGAGACCGTGCAGATGATTCAAAAATCTGCGTGAACCAGTCCAAACTGTTATGAGTAAATGTTGAGCTGAATCAGAAGACTAGGTTATCGATTTTAGTCCCAATGTTCACCTATGGCTGTGAGTTGCGTGGAGGGGGGTATGACACTGAAAAACTTCGATTCTGAACGTAAGGGGTTCAAATGAGCTCTCTGAGACGAATCGCTGGCCTCACAAGTCTCGACAGCGTCTTGAATACAGAAATCGAAGAGATCCTTCGTATGCAGCCGCTGCATTTGCAGACTGAGAAGTCACAACTGCTATGATTTGGGAACATCTGTTGATGCCTCAAGGAATGCTACGCCCTACCAAACCTACCGGCTGAAGACTCCAAGGACGGCCAAAGATGATTTGGTTGAAGTACCACGAAGGATTCTGCTCCAGACTCTGGTTATCTTCTGCCGAAACTCAAACTCTGTCGCAGCTCCGAGTGCGCACGAAAGGATAAACGATCATTGAAACTGACTGACTGTCTGATTAAGGAGAGATAAAGTAGTTTTCTAGAACAGTCAGGCTGGAATAATGGAACGTGCATGGATGGCGTTTTCATAAAAACGATATGAAAAACTTGTTCAGAAAACTCGATAGCAGCTTCGACGAAAGGAAGTCTCGAATAACTACGTGAAAGAGGACCGTAACATAACGTCGATCCTACTGAAGTCAATGAGATATGGGAAAAACAGTTGAATCGTTGGTAAATCCCGATGTTGGTTTGTGGCAAGATTCAGGTACGATATTACACTTGGAAAAGATCGATGACGAGCCTTAATCGACGACCACTTGAAGATGTTAACGAAGCCTTAAGCCAACTAAAAGTAGCACAACAGGAATTTATGAAATAAAGCCATAGCTATAGGATACCTGATTTAAAGTGCACAGTTTAAAGAAAGAAAAACCAGTTTCTCACTTTACACCTGCAGCTTTGTTGCAGCGTCCCCTTGCCACTAGACGAATAGGGGACCATTTAAGCCGGCCACGGGTCCATGGTATGTAAGCGCCTACAGTGCACATCAAACAAAAAATACTGCCACGATCCGTAGGAGAAAGAGTGACAGAATAGAACCCTGATGTTCTGGGGAGCTATTAAAAGCCATAGCTATCTGATGAGTCTGGAATGAAAGGAGTACTTGCATTAATGAATCTCTTTCGATTGATGTGGTTAAAGGGAGATGCAAAACGACTGGAAGAAATGAACGATTGTGCTTCAAATGTTCAATAAAGGCTGTTGCTCAGATTTAAAAGGATATCATGGAGTCATACGACTATCCGTGTTTGCTAAAGTATTCATGCGTGTTATGGTAAGAAAGGTTAGAAAGCATCTTGAATTAATGCTGGGTGAAGGGCAGTATAGATTCAGAACAAACAGAGAACGCTTGGACCAGATATTTTCAACGAGACAGCTAAGAGAAAAGAGCAGAGAATGAAGATCCATGTTGTTTGCCATATTCGTTGATTTTATTAGAGTGTTGGACTCAATCTGAAGAGATGCCTTGTGTGCAGTTGGTGAACAGCCGGAATCCTACCAAGCAATATTCGCATAATTATAACGATATATGATCTTTCCTAAAAGGCGGGTTCAGAAAATTCTTTCATACGGAGTTTGGAATAAGGCAGGAAGGAGTGAAATCTCCTATGCTATCTGCATTGTCTTTAGACTGGGTGCTCTAGCCAGTATGAAGGAAGAAGCTACGGTGGCAAGAATGAGCGGCATCTGCGTTAGCTACCTTGCATTTGCGGATGATATTGTATTGTTTACAGACAACATCCAGGCTGCGACATCACAGTTCTTTTTTGAAATAGAGGTTTCCTACATAACTTAAAGACGAAGCAGACAAAAATTTGTAAAATTCAGACCAAAGACTGCCTGGTCCTTGACACCGAAGTTGTGAAAGAGGTGTCAGAGTATCTGTATCGTGGAAGCATACTGATTGTAAACGAACGAAGGGCAAACGTCTACTGCTATATAAGGTTTTCTTTCTGAACATCTTGCTCTCTCTTGGAAAAGGCACCATTAGACAGAGCTGAAAACAGAAAACCGGAATCAACGGAAATAACGATTTTCATATCAGTGATTAGAGTGAAGTTGCACGAGTTGGTGTATAATGCTAATTTAAACCAGAGATGAAGATATCCAGCTAAAGTGACCTATGGATTGCAAGCAAAGCGCTTAAGATGGTGGGAGGGACGTTGTCACTGAATGATTTTCCTACTGTATACTGCACGTAAAGTCTCTCGGTAATGCAGCCGGCAGGAAGACCTCTAACAAGGTGGAAAGGGCTGGTTTGAACAGATGTTACTTTGAAATGACTGAAAAGTGGGCGCACATTTATTAGATCCAGGTAGAATGCTTGTACGGCACCCATCGTTTCTTCCATGCTATGGGATAAAAAGAAGAAGAATATTGTTACGATGATAATCATATTGCAACAGCCAGCTACTAGTAGCTGAAACCAGCCACAGATCACGGAATGCATCCAGACAGATGACCGGAAATTTTTCAAGGTCGGTTGATGGATGTGGATTGGACCTTAAGAACGAAGAAATGAAACGGAATGATGTAAGAACTGGTCAGCGTTATGGAGATGATGATAGAATAACTGAATATTTAAAGGAGATCTCATGCAGCTTATGCATCAGAAGATTGACTTGCTTGCAATGCTTAATGCGAAGGAAAAGGTTCTTCAGCAGATCTGATAATACAGCTGCAGGAAAGAACAGAAAAATTTCCTCTTCTCAAAGGTAAGCGAAAATTAAAGTACCCAATAGATGTTGGGTTACACTGCGGCGAAGCAGCACCTGCTCCTGTAGATGAAAACCAGTCGCCCTCCTTTATAGATAACATTTCCAATGAATGCAACACCCGAATGTAGAATGCCGTTGTCTTTCATTTACCGTCTTATCACCACGGAACATAATTCAGCGCTCTGTTATATTTCCCTCACCAGTTAAGAGAATGATGGTTTCCTTAATCGGCTGGCACAATAATTTATAACTGTCATAACCGCTTGTTGTTAGACTTCGTGGTGAAGGTCAGCAAAACTTTTGCTTTTCAATAGATAGATTTTGACACGAAAATAACCATCACCGCAACTGAAGTGAAACGACAAGCCTTTAGGCATAGTTGTCACTATTAGTAGTCACGTATCAATAATGTCGATGTCAGTAGCATAGCATAATTTACGATATTGGTCTCGGGTTTGCCCTATTGCCCTCTGATGTCATATACCATAAAAATGGTTTAATACACATGCCCCCTAGATCTTTTAGGTAAGTGTTGCTCATTGACGAAGAAGAGTCATTATTCTCAAGAAAGTGGAACAAAAAAGCGATGCTTTGAAGGGCTCGAGGTTGATTTCGGAAATGAGAATAGAAGGTCATATCATGGGACATGTCATGCGACTGTTTGTGACCAATTTCGCTAGGAAACGGTAATGGTAGTCTTCTGGCCATCACTGACAATTCAACTGTGAAATTGTTTGCCGTCAAGCACCAACTAACACAATTAGGCAAGTTAGGTTACTCCAGCTGTTGCCGATCCCCAGCCCGCATTAGAAAGGAGAAAGGTTCGAGGCCGCGGCGAACTCTCCGTACAACTTATCGACTAGTCCCTCATGTTATTGCCGTCATCGAGCATTGTATAGGACTCCGGCGTCGCCGTAGTTAAAGAACCTGCGCAGTGCTTTGGAGAACTGATACATGGTGCGATAAGTCGGCGATCAGAACCTGCTTATCGCCATCTGGAAGCCGGGAGAATAGCAGCACAACAACGAGTGCCAAAGATCGAAGAAACCAGGAAAAGATACCAGTTACCAACGGAGATGTTACCCGTTCTGAACGGAGAAGGCAGA